AGGCGCGGGAGCAGCGCAGGGAGCCCGGCGCCCTCCTGCAGGCCGAGGACCGGCTGCGCTACTCGCTGACCCCCCGCTACCGCGGGCTCTTCCAGCAGCTGGGCCGCCTCGAGGGCGGCCTGCGCTTCCTGGTGGAGCTGCGGGCCGACCTGGTGCACGGGCTGGCCACCAAGGCGCTGGACGGGCCGCACGTCAAGGTGAGACGTGGCCCCGCAGGGCCCTGCGCAGACCCTCGGCCTGGGGGGCTCAGAGAGCCGAGCCCCCCGCCACGGGTCTCCGGCGTCACTGTTGGGTGCTTAAATTTGCTGGAATCATAAATGAAGTGTGAGAGAAAGAGCAGCACAAGCTGGCAAGGTCACAGGGCTGTTGAGGTGGGTGATAGACACCACGTCATTCAGGGCTGCGCTCTAATCAATTTCCACGTCAATTTAGATCGTTTTGAGCAAAAGCAGATGGGTTCTGCAAAAAACAGCAAAACAAAGAATGTGTAAAGGAGAGGAATGCAAAGGTGTCAACTGATGCAGCTTATCACCCGGTTCAACATGTTGAGAAGTGTACTCTACCTGTTTGAATGTGGGGAAACAATGTTTTCAAAATTAAAGCTTCAATAAAAAGGGTTTCCTAAGCACCCTTCTGTTGTGTTTTCCAACCCAAATATCATTTTGGAGTGCTTGGTTCCGTTCTATATGAGTGGGCTTCCTTCTGCATGCCCCTGCCTGCAGTCTTTTGCCCTTGATGACAGGTTGGCTTGTTGGTGACATTGCAGGGAACGTGCACAAGTACAGAATGTATCATCAGGCCTGCTGGGGTTTTGGTTTTGCCCTTGGTATTACAAAATCCCTTGTATTTAGTGCTGTTTTGCTGATGGGTTGGTCTTCGAGTATCTCACCAAGGGGATTCTGCACCTATATGTAGAAACTAATTTGAAACAAAAGAAACTGAAACATACTCAGCCAAATCAAAACAGCTGTATATCTGTATGTGAATTTTAATTATAGGGGGTTTTATTTGTCTGAGAGCGAAAGTGAAGTAGCTTTTTCACCAGAGAGGCAGATTTTCTTAATCAAAGATCTTAATCTAAGTCTTTTCTAAGAGATTTCCCATTTGTTGCCTCAAGACAGGGAGGTCATTGCAAGTTCAGAAAGCCTGTGTTTTGCTGTCTTATAGCAGGATCATGGAACGAAAAAAAAATCACCCTTAATACGCTTACCTAATAGAAAGCAAAGAATAGCTGAGTAATTTTAGATGCTGGTCCAAGTATGCCTTATTGCTCAGCTTTAAAATTGGGATGTGGAATAACAAATGTTATTTTTAATGACATGTCTCCAATCCTTTTCCTTGCAAAGATGAGTATTTAAGTGTAGTTTGATGACTAGAAATACCTCTGAGATGAGAATTAGAATTTACTACTGGTGCTCTAGAAGGCAGATGGATGGCAGGAGGGCTATAGGAATCTGTTGGTTTGACCCCAGCTCTGACAAATCTGGCTTGTGTTTTGGCTCACAGGGTGCCCTTACACACAAAAAGAAAACAAACAACCCTGAAATACATAGAGACTTCACTACACCTAGGGATATCTGATCAAAATGATTTATAGTTATTTTGTAGAACTTCAGAGCTGTTCAAAAGCAAGGATTCACAAGGGAACTACCTTAAAGTCAGAATAAGCAAAGCAAACAGAATACACTTTTTCAGTTATACCTGCGCGCTTACAATGGAAAAAAATGCATTTAAAAGGGAAAAAGGGAAAAAAAAAACTACTACTCATGTGAGACAGTTACAACTAAGATTCAGCTTCTGTCAGTGGAGCTGCTGGTGGCACAAGCTGTGTTGAGGCTGCCGTGTTGCACAGCTCAGGAGGTGCCATTCCTGAGTGACCCAGAAAGAGGCCTGAGCCCTTCATGTGCATGTTTGAATGCAGATAATCCTGTGCTTAATTTTTTTTTCCAAGCTGCTGCTATGTTGGATGGTGTTGCCTTGATGTTGCCTTCAGAAAGTTGATGAAAAACTGGGAGATCTGTCCTTTATCAGGGAGGGTTCTGCTTAATGTGGCCCTTCTTTAGCCTTCGGTGATACTTTTTGCAGTTAGTCACATTCGTGTGTATTTTTTGTACTTTTTATGCTGGCGAGTTTGTGGATATTCCCTGCACTTGGAATGATGTCTTTGACATTAATAGTATTTATAATATCTGCCACTCTTCAATATTCAGGCTTTTCCTTATTGTATTTATGAGGGTGCTACTAAAAAAAAAATGTAGAAAGGTAGCCTAAAATTTCATGCATGAAAGAAGTGATGTTGCTGTTTTGTGGAGACCAGTGGCTGTTTTCTTCTTGGTGGTTTTTATAACAGACATTTTTGCACAGACAAGGGTAAATGCCAAATGGAAAGACTGTGTTTGGCTAATACAAACTAGTAAACATAAAAGATATTGGTAGAAAAAAAGAAACTGAAGCTCTTTCATATAAAAGTTTTTTAGTATGCCGAATTAAACTAGCTTTTGGTCATAAAAGCAGTCTTTTTCTTTCTTTCTTTTTTTTTTTTTTCCCTTTTTGCTTTTTCCATCTTGGAATATTTATAGCAATTACTTTTAGCCAACAGGAGCCTCCTTTGATGTGCGTCTTAAAAAGTGCCCCTCTGACTTTCATCTTTTTTAGGATGTGATAGGAAATCTTTTTGCTTTCATAGGAATGTTCTGAGGCTATAATTCAACTTTGGAAAGAAGTTTCAAGCAGTAATTGTTGGTTTCTGGATGGATTTGTACTTTGCTTTTGTTTTTGCTTAAATGCAGCAAACCAAAGTACATCGGAGCATACTTTTTGTCTCACTTGTGTAGCACTGACAATTTAATAAAGGTTCGAAGTTCAGCTGGTACTTTACTGGTAGTATCATTTTGTATCCTACAGGCAAAACAGTGTAAGAGAGAAAAAAAAGTATCTTAAATATCTCTGGAATACCTTAAAGAGTTATCCATACTGAGCTGAGGTTGAGAAGCCTTTCTAAACTCAACTGAGGTTTTTTAGACAACTTTAAAAACAAATAAGTAGGAGGAATTTCGAGTTCTTATTTCTGTCAGATTTCGTGGCATTTAAATTAATGCATCAGAGCAGCTCTGCAGCTGCTGCCTGATTGTCAAGACTTTAAATACTTCTATTTAGTATCTCCTTTTCATCTTGTTTGTTTTGCATTCTCTTCCATTCCATTTCTGCAGTTTATTACTGGCTCTAAATTCATTGTGTCTCATAAATATTTGCATTGTTTTATTCCTGTTTTAGGCTAGCTTGACCTGGTATGCAGTTAATCTTGAACAGAAGCATTAGTTTCCCTGCATTTCTCAGTGTTGTAGTTTGAAAGTCAAGACTTCCTTTGCTCCTGTGTTCCACTTAGCTTATATATCAAAAGAGTCAAAGTTTCTTCTTCTTTCTTTTCTTTTTTTTTTTCCCCAGGAAATGAATGGAGTTTTAAAGAACATGCTTTCAGAATGGTTTTCAACAGGATTCCTAAATTTGGAGCGGGTCACTTGGCAATCATCTTGTGAAGTTCTCCAAAAAGTTAGTGAGTAAGTGTTAAAAATTGCTACCACTTGTGCCGACACAATTGTACAGATCCACTATATGCTCCAATATTGAACAATAGGTCAAGTATCATTCTGAAATAGCCTTGCTGAACTTGCTAAAGAGCAGTCTTTTAAAACATGGACTGAACAAACAGCAAAGAGGAGCAGAGTCCCTAATCTGACCTGCAGACTGTTGCCTTTTCCAGCTAGGTCACTTCCCTTCTGCCTGCTCCCTTTTCTCCCCCTTCCCAGCGGTGCTGCCGTTACTTTTCCTACAAACAGGTCCTTGCTGCACTGCCTTTTCACACTCCCTTTCAGCTGCTGCCACCACCACCTCTTCCATAAATGCTGGCACCTTCTCCCTCCATCCTTCCTAAGCCATAAAATTGGTGCAAAACTGATGTTTTTCAAGTCTGATGCAGTTTACTGCTAATGTAGTGAAGCTTACCATCCTGTCTGGAAACAGCGAAAGGAGGTGCCCAGAATCAACTGTAAACCCTTTATAGAAAGGGCACTTAGATGATGCTGGTGGTGGTTGTTGCTTTTCTTAATAAACTTGTCTTAAAACCTACAATATTAATTTCTGACTTTAAAATATTCAAAATTGTATCGCTCAAGTAGAGGGTGACTGAATAAGTTTACATTGTGTTGTGGCTTGTAATTTGAAAACCTTGAAATGAATTTTTAAAGGAGCTGTGAAGGTACATGACTTAAACGTGAGGCAAAGCAAATGGCGTGTTACACAACCTAGATTGTCCAAACAAAAATAGCTAGAAATATCTCACTCAGTCTTCAGGGTATTTTGGCATACACGGCGTGTTACACAACCTAGATTGTCAAAACAAAAATAGCTAGAAATATCTCAGTCTTCAGGGTATTTTGGCATACACACTAGACTCCTTCAGTAAGTAACAGGGAAAGGAACACTAAATAATTCCTTGTAGGCATGACTGTGGGAGTGCCAACAGTAATTTGAGTGTGTTTAATTTCAACTAAGTGTATTGTTGAAGATGATATGTTAAAGCACTCGGATAAAGTACTAAAACTGGTTGAAATGAAACATGTCACCTTCTTCTTTCTACACAGTACATTACACGAACCTTCTAAAAGAATAATTTACAAACTCTACACAGTGCATTACATGAACCTTCTAAAAGAATAATTTACAAACTACCCTGCCTCTCCTTAGATACTTTTAGAAAAAAAGGATACCATGGTGTGAGGCTTTGTATGTCAGTGACAAATACTGTAGAGTAGTTCAGAGTAGGAGAGCAGAAATATTTTGAAATGCATTCAGATTGAACTTTTAGAATGTCTACTAAGCAGTATTACTGTCAGAAATCAATTTGCACTTTCATGTGAAAATCTTGCAGTGTTTTACAAGGATGACTATGATATCTCTATTTTGTAGCTGGAAGGACAAATTGCTAAAGAGAAATGTGTCCAGCCTCATTCAGTGATATAGTGATCTGAACCTATAAAACACAAGTGCAAGTGAGGTCTCAAATGTGCAATTAACATACCAAAAGAAAGCTCTAAAGAGTAGGACATGCAAATACACTTTGTAATCAGCTGATTTCACGATGGATTTTATTTTTTTCCTTATACTCTCATTCTCATTTTTCGATCTGACAGTTTTGTCATTTTGTCAATAGAAGGAGTACTAAGCTTGTACAGCGGTCAGCTGACTTCCATTTTAAAATGAAAAATATAATATTCTTTTTTCCATTGAGTTCTGAAGCTGTGCATCCTGTTAGAAACTGGCTTGATATGAAGCGTCGAGTTGGGTCATATAGAAGGTGCTACTTTTTTTCTCACTGTGCAATCCCAGGAGAACCACTGATAGTCTTGCATGTGGCACTAACCAGTGAAATCTCCAGCAGCATCCAGGTACAGTCACTGATATGTTCAGTACACAATGAAGTGCTCAAATTGCAATACATACCTTTTAGAAACCATCGTTCCTAATACTTTGGGAGTATGTGGTTCCTCTAATTTTGAAGAACAATATGTGGTATGTTGTGCTGATGGTGTCTTAATTTAAGGAAAAAATAATGATTCTGATGTAATTAATTCCATTGATGTATTTTTCTTGAGAAGGCATCTATGAGAGGATTTATTGTCTGATGATTTATTGTTTTGAATACAACATAACTTTGCACATTTCTGAAACTAATTAGTGTTTTTAGTGTGCAAAAAGCCTCAGTGCAGTGCACCTCATTGGCTTTGTTTTACTGGCTCCAAGTGATTTAATCCTTATTGTAAATTTTTTTTTGCATTCTGTATTTCACCCAACCTTCATTGCTGTGGGTGATTAATTTGTCTGTGTAAGAAGTTTCAGTATTTAGAAAGTGAAAACGGAGGTATATTTGTTTGCTGAGAAAATATTTTTGTTAGGGCTGTCAAATTAGCATTATCATTTAGTAGTTTAAGAAAAACTATATGAGATGAAAACTTCAGAGCAGTTATGTTTGCTTTTGAAAATTTCTACAATTATTATTTTCTGTACTTTCTAATAGGTAAGTGGGTCATCTTGTTTCTGACTAGATCTTTATTGCTCCTCAGAGATGACACTGAATAAAACAGTGGTAAAAAAGTTAATATAATTAAAAGTTGAAAAGAAGTCCCAGTCCCCCATAACGATGCAGCTACTAAGTTTTTTTTGATTCTTATTTTCCCAGGCCATAGTGAAAGAAGTTCATCCTGTAGAAACAGAAGATCTGGACAAAATTACAACAGCAATTTTCTATTCAATCAGTTTGACTCAGCAGGGACTTCAAGGTGTCGAACTTGGGACTTACCTCATCAAACGGGTGGTAAAGGAGCTGCAGGTAGGTGTGGTGAGTTGCACTTGAGATGTTGTTTGGCCACTGTGCTCCTCCTGCATTCCTGTGTTAGTGTCCACTAAATATTGTAAAATATTGTAAAAATCCACTCTTTGTGTCTCTGAAATATGCAATGAATACCAAACACTTCGACCGAAAAGCATTTAAATGCCTAATTATAGTACTACTTCCTCAAGCTTCCATAATGTAGTTAATATTGAAAACTGAGCACATTCTGTTCAATGCCAAAGATAGCATTCTTCCTTTCCACTTAGTTTTTAAATACAGCTTCAAATTATTGTGAAAAATATGTAACTACAGGTAGGTTTTTGTATGGAAGGTCTGTAATCAACATCCTTAAAATTAATACGTTATGAAATTGTGGCAAAGCTTATACAGTATATATATTTTTTAAATTTCAAACATAATTCATCTACCTGGAAAAGTATCAAATTACATAAATGAGATGCATATTTCTTTGTCATATGTGTGTTATTACAAGAAGGATGATTTTATGCTGTTTCTTTGTGACAGGATGTTGCCTACCTGCAGAGAGATACTCTATTTTATATTTTTAGGTACTTCTGGAGTATACTCTTTAAAGGTTTTAACCTTTGAAATAAGCTGTTTTCCTGTTATTCAGGAACAACCATAATGTTCTATTTTGTTATTTCTCATCCCAAAAGTGTATTTTATGAACCTGCATGGACGTAATTTATTCTGGCTGGGTGAACAAACAGTGACAGTTTATCATGTGTTGCTAGAATTTTTAATCTATTTTCGTCCTCAGAACAGGACCAGATGCTTTTTTTTGAAGATATACTTCAGTCAACGTGACATTATCAAGCTGCATGCAGGTGGAAATTTATGATACGGAGCACAGGCCACTATTACGAGGGTCAGAATAAATGACCCAGTGGTTCTATCTGACTTAATAACCCATTAAAACCAGCTTTTATTTACAAGTCTGATTTTTCTTTTTTTTCTACCTTTTGATCAGACCTTTTCAAATTAAATGCTGTCCATCCTGATTTTTGTCTTACTTCTAAACTGTGAATTGCTTTGTAGACTTTGTATCTGGTTAATAGCCCATTTTCATCCCTTCTCCCAATGCACTTGGCTAGCTATACAGCTATTTTAAAAGTCAGAAATTACTCTAAAATATAAATTAGTGCTCAAGAGGGAAAACCCCAGTTTTCTTCTTTTCTCTCTCTTTTTTTTTTTTCTTTTTTTTTGTAGTATAAGAGCAGAATTTGCAGTCAGAATAGTATTTTTGCAATGGTCTCTTTTTGTAGTAAGTGAAGTAGATCTGAATTCTGTAGTTACAGATTTCAATGACTTTGATTTTTCTTTCTTGTCGTAAGACTTGAAAAACATTGCAAGAACCATAATACATAATGTTTTCATTAATGTTTTATTGTAAAGAAATAACACATCTTTCTAGGGCATAGAATACTGAGCATACTCGTGTCCCATTCTTTGATTGGAATTTCTTGTTACTCTAGAGTCAGACTTCGTTATAAATGGATTTTTTTTTTGTTTTACTTTAGTCAGGAGAATTAGCCATTGTAATTTTAACATTAACTTCAGAAAACAAAAGTCATTAATTTGTTGTGTTCATTAATAATGTCTACGATGTGTATCAATATGGATCTATATCTCCTGCTTCCCTTCTTTTATCAAATGCAAAGTAACAGTTAGTTACTCCTAAGAAATCTGAAGCAGTTGGTAAGTTAATATGTTAAATTGCATAGTGATAAAATCCATTAGCCAGTCACATTTTTTAATCACAACCATAAAAATAAGGTATTAACTTAAATCCAATGTTTGTTCTGCAGTGCGGTTTAAAAATATGGCACCCCATCAGTCATTTCTTGCCACCTGAGCAACTTCAGATCCTGTTGTTTCCATCTTGTACCCTGTAGAGGAGGCCACTTCTCCTTGTTTGCTTCTTTCCCTGGTTTTACAAAACCAGAAGCCTGCTCTGTCACTGTGGCTGGGTTTAACACACATAATGGTGAAGACAGAGCACAAGAAAAGGCTTTTGCTTCCTGGCTTCAGCACATTTCTCATCCCAGATCAAAGCTTGGCTTTGATTTACTTCGTGGGGGCATGGGGAACTGATGGATCCACAAAGGGTGTGCAGTGAGGCTCTCTGCATCGCTGCTGAATGGATGTGAAGCAAGAACATACAGAATGCTGTGATTACAATGCACTTCACAAATCTGCTTATGTGATAGTATTTTATAATAATTCTGTATAGCCAAGGCAGCAAAAGTCCTTTTTTCACATGAATGGCAAACTCTACATGTTTTGTGAGGTCTGAAGTGAAAGATGAAGTTTAATCCAAAATTGTTTTAAGCACCACTTGTAAGTGCAGGAGAGTATGATTATTTTGAGTCTATAGCTACTGTGTTAAAATGGGCTTAATGCTGTGACCTGTTGAAAATGGACAGAGATTTTAATGAAGGACCGTGTTAAAACCATTTTAAAGGTACAGCAATGTCCATGTATTTTTTCTGTTTCTACAGTTTGTTTTCTTGCTGCTAGACCTGGTCTTGGTACGATTGAAGGACTGGAGAGTGTTAAAAAGAAGAAAGATAGTGCAGGACAGTTTATTCATGATGGATATAGTTCTGTGCTGTTCTTCTGCAGTTCTGTGATGTTAATACTTTTTTCTCTACTTCCTGCGTTCTTCCTTACTCTTTTCTTCTGGGTTCCAAAAGATTGGAGGTATCCAAAGTTCTTGAAATTTTTGTCTTGTATTCTGCAAGAGCCATCGTCCATTACATAATTTGCACCTATGAAGTAACTCTAAAACACCATGCTGTTATCACTGCTTGGGATAAGGAATTATCAAATGTAGTTCTATAATCGTAGTCATTCAGCCTTTCTTGTATAACTCCATGATTCTCATCTCCTTTAAAGCACTGCTAAGGGGCGAAGTGTCCCAAGTTACCTGTGTTGAGACTGTCTTTAGTTGAACTGATAATAAAATACTTGGGGAAGAAAAAAACATTTGAAAGGATTGAGGATTTTCTTTTTTTCTTTACATTCAAACAGTTGATGTTTAATACACTCCTATAACTTGGTATTTCTTTGGCTTAACTTTTGTGGACATCTGTTTGGTCTGCAGAATGTTACTGGACCCTTCTTTTCCCAAGGCACTGCAAACTCTTAAAACTTCTCTTTTTATCCTCCAGTAAAAATCCTTTAGGTGACTTTGCCTTAACTTAACCCAACTCTGACATTTCTGCTTGTAAATGCCATTGGAAGCTCAAAACTGAAATCCCAGCTGTCGTTCCTCATAAGGGAAGTTCTGCTAGATGAGAAACATGCACGAAGTTAGAAATATGCTAATATGTCACTTTTTTTTTTCTTTGTTGAAGTCCTTATTTGGAAGATTTTTGTTATAACTGTATTGAAACATTGAACTAGCTTGTCGGACTAAATTTTAGGTATCTATATTAGGTCTAAAAATTGGACCTAGAAGTTGAGTGCAAACAGAAATGTTGCCAATTCCTTGGTCCAGTTGTACACTGTTAAACATGAACATACATGGGGAATTCCTCTCACATTCAGAGAATGTCAGGTGCAGGTTCTACCATGAAAATATTTCTTGCAAATGGCTTTTTATTAGAACCACTAGGGAGATGGCAGCACCAGTGCCTCTGGTGACAACTACAAGGCTCAGTGTAAGTGCTGCTGCTCTGAGACCTTGCTCAGAAGTTAGTGGCCCTTGTCTTTGGGTCTCACTAACTTCAGTAGATGGAGGATGTGAGAAGTTGAGTTACTCAAACAGGCCCATCTCTTTATGTATGGTTTCATCTCTTAATATGTGTGCAGTTAGCAGGTTGTATGTTCAGTTTTTGCCGTTAGGATTTGGCATTTGCCACAGGTATGATGATATAACTGGGATAGAACGGAGATGAGAGCAGGACCTCCGGGATGCAGCCCGTTTCACACAGAAAAGAATGCAGGGAGAAAGTTGTGCTGCTCCCAGTATTCCAGGAGTTTCCTTTTTTGGTGGTCATTTTACAAAAGGTTCCTACACAAATAATTTGGAGATGCTTTTGTAAATGAGTTTTTATTTTCTCTTGGGTATCTCCTGTTTGGATTTTGTTTGCGCAGGTGTTGGGATGAACTCCTCAGTCCTGAGAACTGGCTACCAACTCATTTTGTGTAATCTCTTAGTTACATTAACACATATAATGCAGGGAGCAGATAAAATAAATAGTCTTGTCTATTTTAAATTTTAAGCATGTGTTTCTTCCAGAAATGAACAGAATTCTAGCATAATTTCAGACAGCTATTAACAACAACGAAAAAATAAAAACTCCAAAGTAGGTGCTGGAAGAAAAGCAAGCAGATGCATTTCTAGCTAGCTGATAGGTGCTGGTGAATGTGTAGACAGATGGATTTCTCATTAGACAGACACTTAATTCAGGACGTGTTTATAGCCACTCTGCGTGGTCTATAGCTCTGCAGAAGGTACATCACAGCAATTCAGTCTGCACATGACAGACATGGATTACTGTGGTGAAGCCTTTGAGAAAACCACTCACAATTTCATAGCCTGTGGCATTTGGGGGAGAAAACTGATAGATAGCTACTATATCACGCAATGGAATACTTAACAATTGGTGGCAGATTTTAACTTTCTGCATGGGCTGTTGATAATTGCGACGTTAATTTGATCTGGTGACCTGGGGAGATCGTAATTTCCAAATGAAAGCAAAAGGCTTTGCTTTCATTGATGAAAAATGTGACCTTGGATTGTGGCTTTCACAATGCAAGGCAGTTTAAGATGAGACATGGATAATGGGAGAGATCTGTACTCTTCTGAAAAAGAAAAAAAGAAAAGAAAAAAAATTTTAAAAGGCAGAAGCAGCTGCTTCTTAATGGTGTGTGGGTTTCTGACAAGAAAATAAACATTAATGGATCTCCACCAATAGCTGTAGAAGCCAGCACATCAATTTAGCAGCAACATAAATGTGTACACTTCACTGCATCTATTTGTTTTTTTCTACAAGAAGTGGCCGCCTCAGATAAGCTCCTAAACTTGAGCATTTATCAGATACGAGGTAGTCAGTACTGTAGCTTCCAAATGGGGTCACCTGCCCATGCCTTATCTCTCTTGAAAAAAATATGCACGGTTTCTCCTCTTATGTTTATTAATAGAGTTGGGGCTGCTAGCATCCTGAGAAATAATTCCACTGGAGTTGGCGGACAGGCCGCTTCGTCGTTTTCCATTCATGTTTCAGAGCAGTCCTTGTCGCTGTGATGCAGAATGACAGTACTTAATTGGGAACTTTGATACCAAGATTAGGATTAATAGACAAATATGGGAGAAAACTCTTGGTTTTCACTTTTGCCACTGTGAATTGTTACCCTCCTGGCTCTGCAAGGTGGGAGGCGAGATCCGAATTGTTACCTTTGGAGCCAGTGGGCTTGGTAGGAGGAAAATAGTGTTTTCAAACCTGTGCTTTCTTAGCAGAGACAGTGCAGAAGGCTTCTAGACCTGATGTCGTGGTAAGCAGCCATGGGCCAGTTCATTTTTCCTTTTGCCTGAAAGATTTGCTTCCCAGATTTGTCCCTGTCTTCCTCCTCAAGTTTTAGCCCCAAGCATCTCATAAGTAAGAATAGAAGAGATGCAATATGTTGTCAGAAGCATGTTCTATAGGATCAAATAATATAGTTTGAAAAGTGCTCCCGGTCGCTTCCTGCGGGGACTAATCCTGCTGAGGAATTTCCAGTAGCCTTTTAAGAACTCCCCTCTGGGCCATCTTTCTGCCTCTCCTTCTCCATATCTATATTTTTCTGCTAATAATATTAAAGTAGTATCTTTAATGGAAGCTACTGGTTAGAATTTGTGGGTCTGTGGACTCCGAGACATCCAAAGAAATGGGAGCTGGCAAGGGGTCATCTGAGAGTAACTCTGCTTTATCATTCTAATGAGTCCTGCTGCTGTAAAGAAAAGTGGATTCTGAATTTGATGACCAGGCATCCTCCCTGATTGAAAAACATTATGAGGAGCCAGATGGAAGGTGATCAAAGGAAGATTTAGTGAATGCATTTGATTCTGCCTGAAATTTTAAAAAGTTATTTTAAGCTGATTTGTGGATTAAATGATCTTGGTATCCTTGGGGAACATCCAGGGGGTAGCCATGGTGGGAAGAGAAAGATGAGGTAACTTTATGGGTTTGCTTTTTTCTGTCCTCATTTTTGTTGCCATTCACCTGCTGCCAAATAAATATCCAAATCAATAAATATACATTTAGATATGTATACATACACAGGCGCACACACACACTTACATGTGTACCAGTGTAAATGGAATATGTGTATTTGAATTGAGTAGGGCAGTTATTGCCCTTTGTCAAAAACAGAGGGGAAACTCTTCTAAAATGGTTGAACTGTCTACTTCAAGAAACAATCTGTGAATAAAAATGGTTTTATACATTTATGCCTTTTGTGGCCATGGTCTGCAGCAGGGGCACAACCCTGATAAATGTTTTTTTTATAAGCACAATCTTTTAAATTTGTTTAAATCAGCACTGCAATATTGTCGCAGGTTACCTTCCATAGAAATGTCTTTCCACAGATTTTTAAAGAGCGTTTTTTCTTTTATGAAATGCACTGTAAGTGAAACCTGATAGTTACAGCTCACAGACCTTGTTACAGAAACATGCTTCTGAATTACTATTAAAAATAAAATATTTTAATGTCCTTTAATGGAGGCTTGAAAAAGTCAAGAGGAGCCGAGCACTCACGAGTGAGACAGTTTGAACGTGGCAGCCGTCCTGGTTGAGGGTGTGACCTGATCAGGATCTTATGGGCTCTCTGATTATAGAAATGGTCATTTTGTTCAATGTGATACAGAAGCGAGTGTTTTTATGAAATAATGTGCTTTTTGCTTCATCCAGCTCTCCAGGGAGAGGAAACTTGGTGATGTCTTTATAATCTCTGCCTCCCGTTCTTGCTCCTGTCTTGCCTAAAGAAGAATTTCACAGAATTTGGTTATGTAGCAATGCGATATCCGTGTAATGAAGGTCAGGGGATGGGAGCTGGTGGGATGAGGCAGTCTGTGCAGGTGGGAGCCCCAGAACTGAGGGGGAGGCAGATTTGAGCTACCTGGCTCTATGGTGGGGCAGGAAGCCAGCAGAAGAGCAGGAGGCGATTTGGGAAGCTCCATGTGGGAAGGAGAAAGGAGATGTAAATGATCAGCTGAATATTCATTCAATTACCTTTCCAAATTATTCACAAATGTGGTTTTGCAGTCTGGAGCAGAGAGATGCCAGGCCTGCCTCCCTGGGTCCCCGTGGCTGAGGACACGAGCAGGCGGGCACAGCTCAAACAGCCCCGAGCCCTGCGGGTGCCATTAACATTTGTTACTGCAGGGTAGCCCCTGAGCAATGATGATTCTTTAATGACTAGCTGGGAAACACTCAAAAGAGAAAAAAATGTGTTTTGTAGTCATTTAAAGACAATTTTCTGTTGTCATTAAGACCCTTCCTTAACACTGATAAATGTCTCTGTTCTTAGCACTGCTTCCTTCTATATGAGCAGTAATTAAAACAACACGATGATGTTATCTTTGCCTCTCCCTTCTGTTCCTTGCCCCCCTCCTTTTCCAGTAGGATTGACTTTGATAGCAGTTTTCTGCTGTAACTTTTTATATTGCTGTGCCCAGAACGAACGCATGGTTTTGCTAATGTATGTTTTGCTCTGTGTGATTGTCATACTCATGAATTTGTACTTTGTGAATAGCGTGAAAAGTAGCTGGTCTGGATAATGAACCTCTTTCCAAACCTCAGGAAATGTTTCTTCCCTCAAAATCTATGCAACTCCCTGTTTGATCAATTCATACAAAAGAGGGTCTTTTTGGAGTTTACACTGAACAAACCTTAAACTTTGCTTGATTCAAAAGAAGATATTTACATAGGAAAAGCAAATGACGTTAAGAAGGTTTTGAAAACTTACATGCTGACATCTTTCTTAACCCTATCTTTGAATAACTTTTCTGTGTTTCCTGATTGCATTTATTGATGTCTGTCTATAAAAAATATACCAGAACGTGATGTTGAAAGGCAGTATATAAGTTCCTTTAAAAAGATAGTGTGCATGGGCTGAAGTTCAGTCACTGTCAACATATTCCAGTTTTGCAAGTGCTTTTTAGCCACAACCCCGTTACTGGTGGGGTGTTTTTTTTTCCCATCTATGTGTATCAGTTAATTCTCTTTTCAGAATTCCTTGTTTTCCCTTGACATCAAGAAAAGGGTATCAGCAGTTCTTTCATTCAGACTCCTTGTTGTCAATCATGACAAAACTCACAATTTTTTTCTCTTGTCTGCAGAAGGAACTTCCTCAGATAAAGGATTTTTCTAGTCTTTCGCCTATCCCAGGATTCACAAAATGGCTTGTTGGTCTCCTCTCATCGCAAACTAAAGTGGAAAGAAACGAACTGTTTACAGAATCCGAGTGGCAGGAAATCTCTGCTGTCACAGGAGGCCCTCCCGCCGAAACGCTGAAGAAACTGTTAAACAACAACGAATGGGTGAGATCAAAAAAACTGGTCAGCGCGCTCCGCCTGCCCCTGATGAGGCTCTGTGCCTGGTACCTGTATGGAGAGAAGCATCGTGGCTTCGCTCTCAACCCCGTGGCCAACTTCCACCTGCAGAACGGCGCGGTGCTGTGGAGGCTCAACTGGATGGCAGACACCAGCCCCAGGGGCATCGGGGCCTCGTGTGGCCTCATGGTGAATTACCGGTATTTCCTAGGGGACACGGCCGGGAACAGTGCGGCCTACCTAGGGACAAAGCAAATCAAAGCATCAGAGCAAGTGCTTGCCTTGGTTTCGCAGTTTCAGCAAAATAGCAAGCTTTAAATGCTGCTAAGGAGTAAGAGCAAGTGTTTCTCACTGCAGAGAGCCGTAATACTCTCTAGTGCCTGTATTCAGGTGGGAATAGCCCTTATACAACAACCGTGTTTGGCACAGCAAGACAGAAAATGACGTAGATTATCAGTCACCTTATTTACGTTGTTGTATTTTCAAAGCCTGAGGTGCTGTGATTTAGTCACTACAAGTTCCAGGTATCTTTTATGTACCAGTGAATTGGAGCTGTGTGCTGGAGAGTGAGCAAAACTCTCATGAGTTCTGAGCCAGTGGTAACTTGCATGGGCTGTTCTTCAACCATAGCATTATTCTCTTGATAATAAACTTATAAACCATGACTGCAGAAGGAGCAGCTCCTCCTAGTAACTGCTAACACATCAGTACCAAAGCACATGGAAAGAAGTGCCAAATGAAGGTAACTGTTTAGTCAAATACACTAGCAAAACAATAACTCACAACTTTATTTCAATATATCTTTGTGGTTTTTCTCCCTCAAGCCCTCTCATATAAAACCACCTGGTATTTTTCTTTTTCAAGCTGGCTGAAAAGCTCACTGAATCCCTGCTCTTTGGGAGCATGGAAAAGCTTTGTGTTAATGTGGTTGGGTATGAGGACCTCTCACTGCAGTCTGTATGTAGTGTTATATTTTCTGCTAAAATGTTGCACAAAAGGGCTCAACTCAGGGCTCAACTGAGAATGTTTCAGATCTGTATGTTATATGTAAATATTTGATTCTGGTAAATTTTTAAGTTGTTAAAAGAGGGATTTTAATGAAAAGGTAGGTATGGCCTATAAATCAATAAAATAAATTTTCTCTATCAGTCTTGTGTTGTGTATTTCAGCATGTGCCTTGCTTCACTTAACAGCCCTCCTTGATACTGACGTTACCAATGAATTATGACCATCTTAGCAGGTTTTAGTGCTGAGTGTTTTAGAATTTCTGATTTCTTCCCCCTCTGCCCAGATCCCAGTCTCTTTCTAGGAGAAGAATTATATGAAGGAATTGAAAGGAATGGAGTTTCTGCTCTGTATGAAAACAGAAACCAAGAAAGCTCTAAGTGTCCAACCTGGTTTGTGATGGAATCTGTCCTGTGCCACGTTGCTTTTACTGTGTTTCTAGAATAATGCCAAAAGAGAGGCACACAGTTGAGTACCACTGCCTGTTAAGTATTATTAGTGTTATTCCATTGTGCATTGACTCTCTGACTCTTGCAGTAATATTCTTCAGGCAGTGTATGTGAAGATGAATTTGGGGTATGTAGCACTGTGGAGGAAGCACGTTTCACTCCGAAGTGAAATTGTTTTCTGCAAGTTTTCTGCTTTACAGATTGCTCCTTGGATGCAGAGATAATAAATATATTCTGCTTTTCCTGATTTTTCTCTGTGTGGCGTTTTAGGCAGTCTCATGTAATAGCAAATACTTTTTATTGCCAACCATTGGAAAGTGTGGCAGCCATGTGTACGTCCCGTTGCAAAGCTGCAGCCCTGCCCTCAATTTTCCTCAAAATTAAAGAGCTTTCCAAGTGTTCTTTATAGGAATTAGCTGTTTTGCTGCCGTTGCATTAAGGAAATGAAAGGAGTATCCCTATAGGTACGAAGGTGTAGGTGGTGGAAGTGTTCTATTGATAGCTTTGATCATTACTACAGCTATCTTGTGTGTGGAAAACCGGTATTAATAAAAGGACAACAGCTTAAAATCTGTTACTTCTGCCGTTTGGTTCTAAAACTAGGCTCAAGAAACTTGAGAATTATATGGTAAAGTCACGGCTTTCTAATACTGGCCTATGTGCCCTCTTTGGCAGCCTTCACGGTTTTAGTTTTGTTCTGGTGTCTGAACAGGCTGACGTGGAAGCTTCTGTGCTAGGGGGTGGCAGTGGTTTGGACTGCAGGGATTTAACCCACAGTGCTGAAATGTTGGTTACCCTCCAGATCGGGATGTAAAACACAGGGGCAGTCAGCAGCAGCAAGAATGCCAAGTATCTGCACCCGTTTATAATTTGAACTTTCATGTCAGAGCCTATTTCAGCCCTTGAAGGATCGGGAGGAGGAATGCTGACATGTGCGGGTCAGCGGGTGCGTTAATGTTTTACCCTCATTTATTTTCGTGGTTGCCCTTCTCTTTCGACAACTCAGTGCAGTCGGCAGCACGGGGAGAGCAAGATACTCATCAATCACGTTGGCATTCGCTCCTCACGGAAACGCGCCCGGCCGCAGCGCTGCTGGAATTCCCAGCATCCTGGAACACCGGGATGAGCTCTGCCAAGCAGCCCGACCTTGCACATGGAGCCTTCCTTGGATCCGAGCTGCTGCGACTGGAGCTCCTGCTTCCTGAGGCCTCGAGAGAAGGGAAAGCGGAGGCTGCTTGCAGAGGCTCTTGGTAAGCAAATAGCTGCTGTGCTGTTAGGTGCAGCATATAAAAGCATCAAGGTTTCACAGCTTTTGAAAGCCAATCGATAGAAACGATGTTATTTTGTCACTTAGGCTTGTTTTATGATCAGTTTATGATCTTTTCTTGTCAGAGAAGTAGGGGCTCTGTGGGAGCTGCATGGAGTGAAGCAGGGCCTGTGTTCTAAGATGTGTCCTGAGTGAGAGGTGAGGGTCCAAAGTACTGCTTGAGTGGAAGATGTTCAGTTTATTCGCAGATACCAAGCCATGACAAAGTCCTGTTAAAGCCATAAGTGTTTCCTCAATCAAAAGAAAACTCCATGTATTTCCCTATAGTTTTCTTTTAAGTTATTGACTGTAGCAGGCTAAAAAAAACCCGTACCTCCTGTGGTCTGTTTGTAGAACGGAGTCCAAGGATTTATTCAGCCTCATAGGCTAATGTAATGGCAGTCTGATTCCTCAACCTTTTCATAAGGAAATGTGCCTAGGAGTAGAGAGCCTGAGTTCTGGCCTGTACGCCTGGAACAATTTATGCATAATTTAACATTGATTTCTTCAGAAAATAAGGAATGGGCAATCACACTGAGTGTCTGTTTTCCTCCTCCCAAAAGCTTTTGAATTTTTAAACAATTTTGATAGTACAGTAGATATCTCCAAGATACTCATTTCCAAATGCACCGAAAACCAAGCGAAACAGAGAATATTGCTCAGATGCGAAGGCTCCACCGAGGCTCTGTGGCGCGTAGGGTGCCAAGGCAGTTGCTCTGATTAGGCCACATCCAGACTAGGCCCCTGTGTTTAGAGCAAGAGTGCTGGTGGATTAAGATCAAGGTATTTTGAAGTCAGGTTTGTCTTGTTTAGAACACCTGATTCAGAAAAAAAAATCACTTTCTGCCTCTTTATAACTAATAAATGTCAGAATCCGCATATACACCTTCCCTCTTAAAAGAAATGTGTATGAGCGGTGATAAGTACCTGTAAGCTGCTGTGATACAGTGACGTGTCACCTGAAACAGCCAGCTAGGATACTGTTTAGAACACCTAAACCTGGTCAGAAAAGAAATCACTTTCTGCCACTTTATAACTAATAAATGTCTGAATCCGCATATCCACCATCCCTCTTAAAAGAAATGTGTATGAGCAGTGATAAGTTCTTGTAAGCTGCTGCGATACAGTGACACGTCACCTGAAACAGCCAGCTAGGATACTAAACCTTGTGCACTCTGTGAGTGCGAGCCCAAGGACAGCTCAGCACGGGACGCTGTTCCAGTCATGGATTGCAACACGGAATTTTTATGGCAGTGCCTGGAAGACATTACCTACCCGGTAAGGCTTAGAGTGGTCTGTGGGTCACCCAGCGCATCAAACCCCGCTAAAACCCTGCTAAAATTGTCATTTTTCATTGGCTTCTTCAGATTAGATACCAGCCCATCCATTAGCCACCACTGCTGGAAGGAGCTTGGCTGGCTTCCCAAGGTTCTCTTAATTCTCTCAGGGATGGGCTGGAAGAAAGATATTTTTGCATTTTAGCCAGCTTGTTTCTTGGTATCAGCAAGGGTTAAGGTCCTATGTGAAGTCCTGATCCTTTCGGTCTGCGCAGAGTTCTTAGACAAGGGCTCAAAGTTGCCTTTTAATTTGACTTACTAAGTGCTGGTATCTGCCCATCTTACTTAAGCGCTGCTGTCGCAGTCAAGGCGGGGTTGGTTCCTGCAAGGAGTGTGAGATTTGAGCTGTATTGATTGTTTTGAAAGGAGTGTTAAATTTGGTCTGTATTGATTGTTTTATCACACTGAAAGCTTTACAAATTTGAAGAGCCATATGCTGCCAAAGCCGTAATGAACACATGCAAATACAGATTGTGGGGTTTTTTTAGTCATTACTTTTAATTTTTCATGTGACTAAATATTTCTGGAGATGTGGTAATGCTGCAGCTATGCATTAGGTCCCTGCAATAGCTCACTTCCTTTTGGGAAACAGCAAAAGGTTGGTTTGCATTTTTGTATTATGGGCAATGCTTTCCAGTATCCATCTCTTCCTCTTTATTCTTCCCACTGTGAAAGGATGATAGACAGCGATAATCTCAGAACGGCAGCACATGCCACTAATTCCTGAATCAGATAAACTAGGCAGAGGTTGGAACGATAGGATCACAAGGAAATAAAAGATATCCTGGTTACGTTTATAAGAAACAGCAATCAGTAAAGATTTTTCTATTGCAGATGTTGAAACTAATAGACTTTATTTTTTTAATAGCTACAAATAAATAGGAAAATTAAAGTAGTTAATTTGCCAAAGCAAATGTGTCAAGTTCCCACCCCAGTGTGATCTTTTTAAAAGCAGAGAACTTGTTAACCCAATTATTGTTGATTAAACTGGAATCATTTGCTGAATCTTAACTGGATTTGGAGTTTGGTAGTTTTGTGGGGAGAGAAAGAAGGACGGAGGGGGGAAGAATGAGAATTAACCCAATCTAGATTATTTCTACCTAATTACAGAAAAAGGAAATGATGCACAAACTTCATATAGTGGAAAAAAAAACATTAAGTCCCTACAGTCTCTACCTAAGAATATACTAAAATGGACTTTATGTTGCATAACAGTATTTGAAATGCAATTTAATTTTTAAGAGGCATTTGCT